GGCGAACCATAATGTTTGGGGGAAACCCTAAGCCCTAAACCCTAAACCCTATATTGGGGACCAGGGAGCTCAACTCGACCACCCGCCGTTTGCTCCGGCTCGCCTGCGGTGCCCGGAGGCTCCTCAGGGCTGTTTTCGTCCGAGGGCTTCGTGTTTAGGGTTTAGGGTTTAGGGGTTTAGGGTTTAGGGTTTAGGATTTAGGGTTTAGGGTTTATAGGGTTTAGGGTTAAGGCGTTGGATGTCTAGGTTCTAGGATTTAGGGTCCGGCAGGGTCTGGGGTTCAGCGTTTTAGGGCTCAGGGGTATAGGGTTCAGGGTTTGGGGTTCAGGCATCTATAGGGATTAGGAGCTTCGGTTTAGGTAAGGTCAAGGGTATGTAGCCAAAGTGACCTACCCAGTCTTTAAATGCACAGGAATTCTGCGGTAGCAGGTTCGGTGCTTCAAATTTGGGATCCAAGTAATGTCGGACCCCATTTTGCAAAGAAGATCTAATGTGCGAAAAAAAACCGGAACACGGCTCCCCAAAATCGGAGTTTACCTTCAACTCAATTGAAGGAGCCGGGGCCGGTTTGCAACGCCAAGGCCCCTCACTGGATTTTGGGAAACCCTAAAGAGAAACACTACTTGTCTAGCGCACCACTTGAAAGCCGGATTCTAATCTTGAGCATGACGACCTTTAGCAATCTAGAGCCCGTCAAAAATCCGTTCAAATACGTTTTGGTGAAGGCCCTCAAATCAAAGAGCGGTTCCTTCTTAAATGGGGGTTCCCAAATATGCGCCGCATCCTTTCCTGGTGATGTCAAAGGTCACGGATGGCCTCGTATCCCAGGAGATAAGGAACTGAGGGTACGGGTTCGCAGATCAACAAGAGATTTCTCATAGTACCTGCCCCCCCGCCAACAATGGAGAGTCCAATAAAATACTATGATGGGGGAGAATATCGCTTGTCGGGGGGGGAGTTTTTTTACGGGGAGCCGATTAAGCCATGAACATTAAGCCAACACTGTCAGTACCTACGGGTTCCATCACCTTGTGGGTGGTTAAAAGTTCAAGGTTGAGAGGGAGGATCTTTCAACCCTAAACCCTAAATCTTAACTTTTATGAGCAGCCCTGAGTGGTACCCATGTTTACTCCTCTACTTGCCCTTGAGCCCGAAAAAGGCACAGACTTTGGCTGGCTTAGCTCCTCCACCACGACAGTGAAGTCGCCATCCTTTCCAAAGCAAGCCTTCCAAATGTCAGCAGCGAAGGCCAGGTCCTCTATGACGACCCACTAAACCTTGAACACTAAGTAACTCATTGAATAGTTTCCATTTGGTTTCCATTCCTTCATTGCCTGAACCCCTAACCTGAAACAACCCTAAACCTGAACCCTAAGCCGTAAATCATAGCAGCTTCCGTGGTTTTTGTTCCATTCCGCCATTCCCCTAAGCCTATGCTGAATAACACCCCAGTTTCCATGTTCTTTTCTACCCCTGAGTCATTCCGTAGGGGCTTAGGGGTCTAGGATTTAGGCCTTAGGGGTTTAGGGTTTAGGGATTTAGGGCAGTCCTTTGTGACAACCACTTGCTGCTGCATATCCAGGACTGATCTCACAGCGTCCACAGCAGCTTGGCACGTCTCCCGCAGGCATGCATATAGGGCACTCTGCTTACCGGTCGTTAGTAGGGAATGATGGAATTGATGCCAGAAATAAAGTTAAATTAACTTACTATACTGGGGAACCCTATGAATTACTATGTATACCCATAATGGTAAATTAGTTTAAGTTCCTCAACACCAACCCAGTAATTCCTCGTAATTTTGGCTATAGTACGAAATCAAGCCTCGAGGTTGTTGCAGATTTCTGTATCAGCTTGTGCTGTCCAAATGTTTCGGAACTAGCACTTGCTGGTGGCGAGTTCCGCATGCGCATCTCCGCCTATGTCTATGTATGTAGGTATATATATATATACCAATATATATATATGAATAAATAAATAAATAAATATATATATATATATGTAGGCCTCTAAAAATGTCAAATGCAGAAGAACCCTGCGCCTATTCAGACCAATTGGTGTGCAGTAGCAGCGTGGAAATGGCTCCATGGCAGCGAGAAGCATGGGTTTAGGGTTTAGGGTTTAGGGTTCAGGGTTCAGGGTTTAGGGTTTAGGGTTGGTTCTTGCTTTGGAGTAAACCTTGGGTACTGCCCCCACCCAGTAACAGTCTATATTAGGGGTCCTATTAAGGGCTATATATAACCATATTATAATGATTATCCAACTGTTACTGAGGGGGGCAGTACCCAAATTAGACCCCATATGAGCCATTGTCTCATCTCCTAGCATCCCCATCAAGAACCCCTACAATACTCCTGTATACCCTAAACCCTAAACCCTAAACCCTAAACCCAGCCATATGGGGCGATAGTCTAGTCTTGGAGTCTAGTCTAAATTCCTCAGAGGGGGTTTAGGGTTTAGGGTTTAGGGTTTAGGGCCCTCCTATTATGCAATCCTGACACCAGACCCTGAAGGCTCCTAGGGTTGTGTAGGGACGAATCGCTCCCTGAGGGTTTGGGGTTTATATTAGCAAAGCCTCGAATAATACGATCCCCCCCACCTCAACATATTGCCATTATACCATGGCATGGGGGGATCGTTGTTAGGGGGGCCGGATGAGGAGGGGGTTTACTCTTCCAGGATGGCGCAGAGCGCATTTTGAAAAAATCCAAAGCAGTAATGGCCCGAAATCGGCCCTCTCTAAATCTTCATCTACCGCACAATTATCTTCCTGGCGGGATGCCCAAACTTACGTTGAGGGTGAGAAAGAAAAATTCCCAAGAATCCGTCAATTGTATAAATCGATCGATGTACTTAAACTTCCTACAGCAACCCTATAGCACCTGTAGATTGTCCCCATTGAATCACTGTACAATTCCCGGGATGATCCTACAGGGCTGCATCAGCAGTATAGCTATGGCTTCCCCTACTACCTCTACACTAGCCCCCCTGGCTCCCTGTTTTTTGCTAGGGCAGCTTAAAGATAACCCTGACCGGGCGGGGGGCGGTAGGCTAAGAGGGTAGTAGGGGGACCCATGATACAGTTTTCCCCCATGATTTTGGAGCCTCCATTTGTTCCTTTAGCTTTGAACCGTCTTTTTGTTTTCAGACTGTGCTTTGCGTATGCGAGACGTCCACTAAGAAACTTAATGAACAAGCACACTCGTAGTTCAGGTGTTGAGGGTTTGGCTTTAAGACCATGGCACTGTGACTTTTGGAATGCGCAAGTACATACCCATTACCTCTAAGGGATTTGGAACCCCAGTAGAAATTATAATTTCAGCTAAATATTAGGATTCTAGGTAACAGAAATTAAAAAGTATTTTCAGGAACCTTGTAGTTACCACCCATTCCTCAAAATCAGGCCTAGATGCGCCCTAGTCAGGCAACTTCGGGCGGAGGTCGAGTAAGGGTGGCATTGTAGCATGGGATCCCATGACATTATGGTCTGGAGAATACTCCCCTCCGCCTAAAAGAAACCTCCCCACCCCCATAATATTAAATACTCCGCGTTGTAATATATCAGGGTATATTGGGGTGGGGGGGTTAATACTAGGGGAAGGGGATTATCACCTTTAGCTCCAGGAATCTCGAAACTCATTATCCCTGTAGAGCTATTG